TCTCCCTCGCTGCACACGCTCCCTCACCCTGTTCCAGTGAGCGCCCGAGCCACCTCTGGAGAGGCCTGGAGTGTAATGTAACTCACACTGCATGGGAGAAGGGAGCTATTTATCATTATTATTAACGAACAAGATCCTTTGCACGGCAGAACTTTCCCAGAGTCTATTCCCTTGTCACCCCAGGAGTAGCAGAAAGATTTATTTGTCTCTGAATTGCACAGGGTGGCCCATTTACAGCAGGTCCATCAGAAGTGATGTGGAGCTTAAATGGGAGCTGGAAGAGGCAGGACCTGCCCTGCCTGCGACCTGCATGGCGCAGGTCACTTGCTGAGACAACCTGGCAGGTGCAGGAATGTTGAAGGAGATAATGCCTAGACCTGCTCCCCGGTCCCCTGAAGGCATGGGTGTGCATGTGGGGAGACTTCCTTTGAATGGCCCAGAAGCCGTAAGAGAGTAGGTGGGACTGGGCAGGGGGGTACCATGAATGAAGGGAGGAGGAAAGCAGGAGTGGGGCAGAGAAGCGTGTCAGGAGGCCTCCCGCAGAAGCAGAAGTCATCATGCCCCATGGGGTGGTGCTTCCAAAGACCACAACTGCTCCCTTCCAGCAAGAAGGTGGACCCAGGGCCAGTCTCCACAATGGAGGTGTGAGGAGAAGCTGCCCTAGAGAGGACCCTAGAGAGAGCTGGCCCTACCCGCGGCTGAATCGGGCCTCTAGGTGCTGCTTCCACAACTCCGGCCCATGGTTCTATACACCCTGAGCCCCAACCCTAACACCAGGGTGACACCTTCCACCTGTTCTCCTTGTCCTCGGACGGTAGAGCCTGGCCCTGCCAAGCACTTCTCCTCTAGGTCTATCCTTGCTGACTGTGTCCAGCCCATGATCAAGCTTCCCCTGCCTGTCTGGCCACCTCTCCACCAGCATGCTGATAATTGCCTGCTGTTAAAAGGATTTGCATGTTAAAAGGAGTGTCTGGGGACAGTTAAAAAGCAGAGGGAGCCAGCATTCACCCAGACCCCTTTATTCTTCTCCCCATTGTAACCTGCAGCCTCGAGTGGCAGGCACCGTGCCCTCATTAGCAGTCCAGGAGCGGTGGCCTGGTGCTTTGCTTGCTGTGGGCGTTAAAGAGGTAGAATCCCATCAGCAGAGGGTCAGGGCAAGCCTTGGGCAGTGCCGTGGAAATGAAGAGTCTCTACCCATGGCTGGGCATGTTCTGTTGGCAGGAGCAAAGAGCTGAGACCCACGCAGGCCGGCGTGAGCACGTTGCGGGGAGCCCAGAAAGGACGGCACAGGCAGGTCACAGCACCACAGCCATAGACAGGAGACAGCGTGGCCTGGGACGGCCAGGGCAGGAGGCTCTCAGAGGCCCTCGTCTCCATTTTCTCTCCTGCACTGTGCTCTGCTCCCCTTGCTGCAGGTGGGCTTCCTCTGACTGCCCGTGGCATCTCTGCCACTCTGCAACTGTGGCTTATGTATGGCTTTCAGCCTGTCTTGGTGCCCACACCAGCCAGATAACAAAGATCTTTCTTTTCAGATTCTCAGAGAAAACTTACTTAATTTCTCAGGCCCTACCTGATTGATGTATCCTGGGTCTGAAGCCACTTGGAACAAACATGAGTGCCTAGACCCATCACCTAGAGCAGAGCTGTGGTCATAGGGAGCAGCTGTTCTTGGAGGGAAGTGGGGCGGGGAGGCAGCGGCTGGCATCTCTTTGCGGGGGTAGAGACAGCACTGTGTATGATTCAAGTCACCCGATTTCCACTCACAGTCTCTGCCACCTGCGAAACCTGGAGCAAGGCACGTCCCCTCTCTGGGCTCGTTTTCACATCTGTAGTCTACCCTAGGAAATGGGGAGGCTGGACTGCATGACCCCAGGGATCCTTCCAGCTCCTGCCTTCCAGCCATCCTAGGGTTGTATATGGTCAGGACTGGCTTCCTGGCTTAGGAGCTTCTCATCTCTGCCTAGATCCCTCCCCTCACAGGCTCTCAAACCCATTTGGGAGGGCCTCCTGGGGCTCTTCATCCTCTGCCTGTCTTCAGCAGCCAGGATCCAATCAGAGATGTTCTCTTTCTGAACTGTAAGGTGCCCATTTGTCCCAAGTTCATGGTGAAGAGATACATTGACTGTTTATGCTATTTCTAGTACTTCCCCCTTTCCGTGGGGCTCATCTCACCCTGCCTGTAATGGTATTTTATTACCATAGTAATGAGCACAATGACCATTTATTGAGTATTGCTCAATATTGCTGTGTGTCTGGCCCAGGCAGACTCTTTCTTTCACACCTTATCTCATATAATTCTTTCTTATAACAATCCTAGGGAGTAGGAACTGCTAACAGCTCCATCTTACAGATGAGGAAACTGAGGCCAAAAAGAGTTTTAACAGCATGTGTCTGAGCTTTCCCAGGGGAAAGGCCCAGACTCAAAGTGAGGGAGTCTAACTCAGAATTCATGCTGTAAGCCACCAAGTGTGGCTCCCGGTAGCCTCCTTGGAAACCCAGATGCACCTGGCCCCATAAAGCAAATCTGCTTGCATTGAGTCTGCAGACCTGTGTGCATGTCTGTGCATTTCCATGGAACAGCAGCTGGGTGCTCGCAGAAGCCCCCCTTGTACGTGCTGATGAGCGCCCCCATCTACTTCCCTGATAGAGCATGGTGCCCAGGACCTGAAATGCATGAAGTCAGCATTCTTTTCTCTCCAACAGTTTGTCCCTTCTAAGTATATGAATGGCTCTTTGCCAAGCCCATGTAAAACCTTCTCTAAGTTATGCAGAAATTAAATGGGTTTTCACCACAGGGCATGAAACATAATCCAAGAAGGTCAGACGTGGAAACCATCACTTCTTTTTCCCCTTCTCCACTGTTTCCTGAATCTTGCTCTTAAATCCTCTGATCAGATGCAGAAAGATCAGAGAGCCTTCCCTGCAGGACCATGCGGTATGGACAGTCAAATGTCCTCGCCTCCCCGAGGCAGGGAGCTGGAGAGCTGACGTCTAGCAGGAGCCGTTGCTCTCCTCTGGGCACTGGCTTCTTACAGGGTGTGTTGAGTAGACTGGCCAAGCGCTCTGAAGTGCAGGCTGGCGACCACACAGGGGCTGGAGCTCTGAAATCAGAATGTGGCCACCTCTTCTTGTGACAGGAACCGTGGGCCCCCATGAAGTGTTTCATTCTGGATTCATGGAGCTGGCTTTAGCACTTACGTGTGATCTACAGAGAAAGAGAGGGCAGGATCGAGAACTGTGGGTTAGCTGAGAACCTCAGAAAGATCTCTGCAAGGCGAGTGTCACCTGGGAGGGCATGTCGGGGTGAGGCTGGCTTCACTGAGCTCAGCACCAGGGAACCTGAGTGTCCAGGGCTTTGCACGTGGTGAATCAGGGCACATATTTTCAGGGTGCCTGTATCCACCAGGGTCCTGGCAGGAAAGAGTTAATTTCAGGTAGTTCCAAGAAAGGCATTTCCATGAGGAGACTAGTCACAGAGGAGTGGGCGGGGTGGGGGTAGAAATAAGGGATGCTAAGGCACCGAGGGCTTAGCAACAGTGGCAAGTTCTCACTACCCTTTGGGCTGAAGGGAGAAGGAGAGGAAAATGGTGTTCCCAGAGCCCACTGAGAGTTGGGGCTGGGGAGGAGAGCCTGCTAGGCTGAAACTGGAGCGGGTGGGGAAGTAAGACCGCATACTCCTCCTCCTGCTCTGGGAGCTCCTACCAGAACTTCCCATTGGCAGAAGCCAAACAGAAGCCAGCCAGCAAGAGAGCCTGGAGACGCACTCCATGGAGGGCCTGGGGGCTGGGGAAAGGCAGCCGTGGGCGGATCATGGGGCAAGAGGAGTGAGTAGACAGGGAGCACGCTGGACGGTGCCTCGAATATCAGTGCTTCTTGACACCTCCCTGACCCACCCTTGAAGGTCCCTTGTTTGTGCCCCTCCAAGTTTCCAGAAATTAAAATCGCACCTCCCGTCTTCCGAGCACTTATGGACTGGAATGTTTACACTCAAGAGCTTATGTGTTCTTCACACTAACCCTATGAGATATGATTAGCTTCAGTGTACAGAGAAGGGATTAAGGATCAGAGAGATTATGTAATTAACCCAAAGACACACAGCGAGGTTAGGATTCCAACAAATGGTCTGTCCATCCCTGAAACTCTAGCGTTTGTCTGCACTGCCCCCTTGCAGACTTGATTCTGTTTTGGAGGGAATGAGCATCTTCCAAGCAGCTAGGGCAGGGGAACCTAGCAAAGGAAAAGCACGTTCAGATGCCCAGAGGTGTGAGGGAGCCTGCTGGGTTCAAGAAGTACAAATAGCTTCATGCCACCAGGAAATAAAATATGAGCGGGGAGATCGGGATGGACCACGAGAGCCTGTATTCTATGCAAAAGGGCACTGGGGAGTCACAGATGGTCAGGAGGAAAGGGAGCCCTTGCATCGAGTGGTTGGAACAGGCAGGATGTGAACCTGCCCATTCAGGTTGACACTCACCTGCTGATGGGAGTGAATCCACAAACCCGGACAGAAGCCTCAGCAGTCCCAGGGCATTGTTCTCTGAGGGCCCTTTGCAGCCTGACCACGGGCCCCATAAAGAGCACGTCTGCATTGAGCACATGGTCGGTCTGCGAAGGGCTGCCAGGAGGGAGGGCTGAGTTGGGTCCGCAGAAAGAAAGCCTGCAGCTTGGGCAGCTAAAGGGCATTTGACAGAGGAAGCAAAACTGCCATGAAACAGGTTTGGGACCCAAAGACCCCCTCATCCAGAACTCTAGGATAAGCAAATCAGCTTTGGAACTAGTGTTCTTACAGCCACCAGGAAGCCACGAAAAAATGAAGAAGAGAGAAAAAAAAAAAAAGATACTGCATTTTAAATTCTTGGCACCCTCCTAGAATGAAAATGCCAAGGCCTAGGGTCTGGTTGGCTGAGGGACGTGGCGAATGGGCTTTGGGGGACTCATCATGCTGGCAGCAGCTGCCCCGCGCCGGCTCACCCTTGTGCTTGCTGTGCTCTCATCCCCAGAACACACCAGTGGGGACGCCCATCTTCATCGTGAACGCCACGGACCCAGACTTGGGGGCAGGGGGCAGCGTCCTCTACTCCTTCCAGCCCTCCTCCCAGTTCTTCGCCATTGACAGCGCCCGTGGTATCGTCACGGTGATCCGGGAGCTGGACTACGAGACCACACAGGCCTACCAGCTCACAGTCAACGCCACAGTGAGTCTCCACGATGGGGCCCTGCAGTCCCAGCTGCCTCTTCCCACGCTGGGAGAGAGCGATGGGGCAGTCTTATGGAACGTTGTCTCAGCTGCACACACTCGAGATCTTCACATCTACCATTGGGGGTAATGGTAGCCCTGAAGCCAGTGTTACTGAGGCTTTGTGCTGTGTCCCTGGCACTGTGCTGAGCACTCGAATGGACTTTAAACCTCAAGCAGCCCTGTGTCATAAGTATTGTTATTAAGATGCCCATTTTGCAGTTGAGAAGACTGAGGCACAGGAACAATTCAGTGACTTTCCATGGTCACCTAGTAGCCCGACTCCAGAGCCCGCTCGGGTAACCTCCTTGAGACATTCTTAATGCAGGGCGCCTCTTGCTCTCTGGGACACAGGACAGAGGTGTTCACCCAGCTGTGTCCTGACACCATCCAACACTCAGGGCCCAGAGTTCAGGCATCCTGGCTCTACTCCATGGAGTGGTGACATTCCACAGCACCCCTCTGTGCCAAGCACGCTGCTGGCCCCTGGGAATTCCAGATGAGTGAGTCAAGGGCAGAAGGCAGGAGAGGGTAATTATCCCATCTGATGGCTGACTCTTTTGAGAGTCACACAACCCGTGAGTAATGGGGGAGCAAGAACCCAAACCCAGGTTGTCCACCTCTCAGTCCAGTGCCCCGACCGCCATGCCTCATGGCTAGACTTCTCCAGGTCTCCAGAACATCACAGCATGCCCTTTGTGCCAGCTGTTTGGGAGATCCTGGGGAACAGGCAAGCCACACCCTAAATAGGGTCCTCCCCCTGCCCACCCCTTCTCCCTGCTCCCAGCTGCTGCCTCAGGGCATAGCTGGAGTCATCTGCTGGCAGCAGGGCCAGAAGCTGGCCTGTGGTCCTTTAGATTCTGATAACAAAGCTTACACCAAGAGCAAAAAAAAACATAAGCTTACACCAAGAGCAAAAAAACATAAGTCCCTCTTGACCCTCCAGGACCCCTCTGCCTGACACACATCGTCCACTCTGGTCCCATGTAGCTGTTGACAGGGCTGCCGACAGCGCTGGGGGCTCTCCTTGGCAGGTCACAGGGTCCAGATCCAAGGTTCTGAATCCGGACTGGATCAAGAATCCAGTTTTGAAAGATGGGTGCCCCAAGGCTTGGCCAAGATGCAGAGAGGCGTCAAGAGCCAGTTGTTTGCCCCTGGCCCAGTGCTTGTGGAGAGGTCACTGCAGGTGACGCTCACATTCTTTCCTTCTCCCCTCGTGAAGTGTTAGTTGCCTGCTAGGAGGTGTGTGCTGCTGTTTGTAAAACTGACTTCGGGGGTCCAGGGGACTTGCAAGTCCGCTTTTTGTACACATTTGTGTGCACCTTCCATGCAGCCCAGTACCCACACATGCGCTGCCCCTCCGTCACAGTGTTGGCACACACCTGAGCCCAGACACATACAGATGCTTGCCCACTGTGGAGTAATTTCCATCCACCACAAAAGTGGCTTTGGACCATGGGGAATAGACCAGAGCTGGGCACAGGCAAGAATCTGGGTGGCTGCCTATCAACAGGCCTGGGCTCCAGCTGGGATGATGAATACACTTAAATTGCTGTTACGCTCCCAGAAATCGGGTTTGGAAGCAGTGAAACGGGAGGCGCCCTGGAAGTACCTCTCTAGATCGCTTCTCCCTTGCTTTTGGAGGAGCTGACACCGAGTCCTTCTTGGGGCTGGCGCTGTGCCCTTGCCTGCTGAGCACTTGCCCCGAGGAAGGAGATTTTTGTGCCTGGCATCACGGGAACAATGTGAGTTCCCAGCCACCACTGAGCAAGTACCAGGGTGGGGAAATTGAGGCATCCTCTGGGAACAAGCTGCTGAGAGCCATGGGCCCCAGAGTCACAGCTGCGAGCCTGCAGGATGCCTCCCCTTTCCCCACCACAAAGTCCAGAGTGGGCTGGGCATGGGCATTTGTGGCATAAATAGGACTGCAGCCCCAGGTATGGGACCGAGAGGGCCTGTGCCAGAGTGGACAAAAGCCAGCTGCCTGCAAAAGCCTGGTCATGGCAAATCAGCGTCACTGGCATCCCTGTCCAAGGGATCAGGGGACTTTTTTTTGACCCTTCCCCTCTAGCCCTGGATACCTGATGGTCATTGAGGTCCCTGGCTGGGAGCTCTCCCCATGAGCAGTGCCCAAGCCTGCGCTGCGGGCCTCGATCCTAGAGCTTGGGAGGCTGTCCCCTGAGAGCCTCTCTGCTCACCTCCTGGTTCCAGACCTTCCTCTTCCTTGCAGCACCCACTCCCACCCCTGAAGGCCCTCCCACCCTCTCCTTGGCTGCCCCTGAGGATTCCAAAAGACAACCAGCCCTCCCTTCTCCTCCCAGGCACTGCAGCTCCATCTCTGCAGGCCAGGAGCAGGCACCAGGCTTCTTGGAACATCAGGAATGCCTTGCATCATTCAAGTCACCCCACACAAACCAAGGGAGATCTAACCTGGGGACAGTCGCTCCTCAAACCTTAGCTCAGAGAATGTACAAGCCCGAGGGGCCTTAGGGGTCATTCACTTGAGCCCCTTCCTCTCACCGAAAAGGACATCGGATTCCCAGGGGGAGAAAGAACTCATTTGAGGTTACCCAGCAAATTAAGAGACAACCGATGTTAGAGCCTCAAGTCAAAACTGTTAATGGAAAATTTTTATGTGAAAGGATCTGAGTTTGAGTTCTGGCTACACACTTATAAGTGGTATGACTGTGGGCCAGTTGCTCAGGCTCTCCGAGTCTCTGTTAACTCATCTGGATAATGGCCTCATCATAACTTCACATGAGAGTGAAATGCCTGCTCAGTGCCTGCCATGTCATCTGTACAAAGCTGCAGTTGCTATTATTGCTGGCTATTGTTATTCAGTTGCAGCAGGCTACTTAAACAGTAAAAGATAGATTTGGAGTTTTCTTTCTTGCCAACCATTAAAAAAAAATTTTTTTTTTGAGATGGGGGTCTTGCTATGTTGCCCAGGCTGGAGTGCAGTGGCTATTCACAGGTGCCACCTTGGTGTATAACAGCCTCGAACTCCTGGGCTCAGGTTATTGCCCCACCTCAGCCTCCTCAGTAGCTGGGATTACAGATGCATTGGCGAGGTGTTATAGAATGAAATTCCCAACTGACGTTTTAAATATTGTTTGCCTGGCTACAGGGGGATGGCCCGCGTGAGCTCTTGGGATTCTTGCTTGGAGTCCCCGAAATGTCACAGACCCTGGAGCTCCCCCTGCTGGTTAGACTGGGAAAAGTCACTTGACCAGTAAATCCCTAGCCCAGAGCAAGGGACTCATGCATGAATGCAGAGACACAGATGCCAGAGTCATCCCCTCTGTGGCCTCTCTTCCGAGGAGTCCCCATCCTAGTCAGTCCCCTGCTGCCCTGGGCTGAGTAGGGGCAGGAAGTGGGCACAGCGAGAGGTGGTGGCTCCCAGCTGAACACAGCAAAGGGGCTGAGCGTGGCTCCATCTCTACCCGAAGCTAGTCATCCCACCACCAGAGGTCCAGGGCAGGCAGGCCTGGGCTGGTAGGGGCTGGAGGTCTACCTGTACCCCAGCGCTGCTGTCACTCTGGATAAGCTGCCTTTTTCTGGACCTTGGGGACGCTGTCTGTGTTTTCCCGTGCAGCTCAGAAATCACCGTGGGTTCTCAGAAGTTCTTAAGCTTCCTTTTACTCAGCCTTACCCTGCAGGAGTGCAAGAGCATGGGTGTGTATGCGCATGTCCATGTATTTGCACATATGTGCCACACGGTACAGGTCTGTGTGTGTGTATGTATGTGTGTGAGTGTCCCCAGCATCCCTCAGCCTAAGGCTGTGTGTTCTCTGCTTTCTAAGGATCAAGACAAGACCAGGCCTCTATCCACCCTGGCCAACTTGGCCATCATCATCACAGATGTCCAGGACATGGACCCCATCTTCATCAACCTGCCTTACAGCACCAACATCTACGAGCATTCTCCTCCGGTAAGACCCCCTGGCCCTGAGGGCCTTTCTTCTACGTTCTCGTGAAGGGTGGGCCCTGTTAGTGGGCCGGGCTCCTCCTTGGCTCCTGCTCAGTCCTTGTGCATGGCAGTGATGAGTGTCCTGGCACAGTGAAACCTCAGCCTCTTTTCATGCCACACCCATCTCTTCACCCTCTCACTCTACCCCAGGGGTTGCATGTGGCAAAGAACAAAGGCTTCCAGGGCAAATAATGGGGAGCCATTCAGGCAGATTTATGTGGAGGATGGGGATGCTGTGCAAAATCTGGCCTGGGCTGGAGAATGGATCTGGACATAGCCCGGCTCCGCACAGCATCAGTGTGGTTCAGCCATGCCCCTGACCTGTCAGTCCGTCTCTCTCTGCTGATCAGCACTGCCCGAGATGGTGGCAGCTGCCCTTTTTCGAGGGTCCTCTTGGCCCCGGCTCTTCTCTGCAAGCCTGCAGCTCCTGTCGCCCTCCCTAATGCTCAGTCTTCGGATTTCTTAAGTCCAGGTTTCCAAGAAAGGCTCCTGATTTTCCTGGTGTGTTCAAGGTCATAGATAGCCTGTAGATCGGCTACCTATGGGTGTCTTAGAGGACAAAACCTTCCTCGGCCCACTCTGCAAGGGTGTGGATGAGGCAGCTTTGCTCAGCCGTGGGCCAGGAGGGCACCGGGAGGCATGTGTAATCTCATAATCGTTCGTGCGTCTGTGCAAACTTGAATGTAACACCGACTCTGGGTTGAAAAGTTAGAAAAAGACACCTCCTCTGGGCAGACACAATCCCTGGACATCAGCTTAGGGAACAGCGTTTGTGGGAAGAAAAATGAGCCCCTTCTTTTGAGGGAACTCAGTGTGCTTAGAGGAAGAACTCAGCTTTGGGAGCAAAGTGGGGCACCCGCCTGAGGCTCGTGGGTGTTCAGCGCCGCACCCGCACCTCTGCACAGGCTTATAGAATTGAGCGACAGGCAAGCTTGCCTTGACCGGGGTGCAGGCTCTGCTCCTAGGCCTGACCCCTCATTTGGAGGCCCCTTCACAGCACAAGGGCCCGGTCTCCTCGTGTGTGGTGCTGGCATTTGGCCGCTTCCTTCTTGGGGCAGGTATAAAGGGAGGCTCTAAGAAGAAAGATCCTTTCCGGCCTGCTACTGTTGAGTGTTTGAAGCTGCTTTGAGAGTAGAGGAGGACAGATCAATGCCCCTGATTCCCTGGCCTTCTCTTAGCATTCTGTGGACAGTGGGAGCCTCAGCTTTTGAGACCAAAGGCTCTCTCTTCTCAGCCCGGCCCAGCCCATTTCCCATGAATTTCCTTCCCAGCTCCCTTTCTCTCTGCCTTTAGCCCAGCTTTGCCAGGCTGTTGCCTTCTCAGCATCAGATCAGCCCTGACCTGCTGTTTTCTGATGAGGCAGTGCCCACGATCTGCCCATGGCCCCTGGACGTCTCCTGAGTGCTCAGCACTTTGAACACCTTGCCTCCACTCTGCTCCCATGATAGACTGGAAGTGTGCAGTCCAGCAGGGACAGGGTCTGCTGTGGGCACAGCACACAGTGTGTGCTCAGGAGATGGTTACGGGATGGACAGATGAGCAGGCACCCTCGCCCTGGGCAGACCAGTGCACTCATCATCCTGCACCCTCTCTACCTCATGCCTGCTCTTGTTGCCAGCCCAGAATCTACCTACCCATTGGTTCCCAGTTTACTCTCTTAGAAATTTTCCCCTGGCTTCTTCCCCACCTAACCCAGAGATAGCAAATCCTCTCCCTCAACCCTGGTAGAATTAATTCTCTCCATGCCACATAATTTTCCACTTAATTATAGTCTCATCTGCAATGTTACCTATATATGTGAGTTATTTCTGAGCCCCCAGTAATCAAAGCACTTGAGTCTCTGGGACATGATCTCAGCCTTCCTTTGGGTCTCCAGAGCGTCATGCCCAGGGCTAAGTGCAGAGAAGATGCCCCAGGCCAACTAGATTGAAGTACAGGACACGGTGGTGGCCAGGCAGCCAGAGGAGCTCAGAGGGGTCCCGCACTGCCATGTACTCACTCTGGCTGAGTCACACAGCCTCCGGACCAGCTCCTCACTGGGAAAGGGGGCTCATAGTGCCGCAGTGGTGCCTCCCTCACCTCAGAGTTTTAAGGGTTGGAGATAACGCACGTAAAACACATAGCAAGTGTTGCCAAGTAGCAGACATTCAACCACGCTGGGCAGTGACCTGGTCAGTTACAGTAGCCAGGTTGGGTTGGGGCTCCCAGCTTCAGCTTCCTTTCAGAGTCGTAATAGTTGGCATGAGGTGTGTTCCTGCTGTGAGCGTCCCCTGAGACCCCTGGCTTGTTCTTTTTCTAGTATCTTTTTTAGTATTTAGTGCAATAAATAAGTTTAACTGTTACATGCTTTTATTTCAGAACTGCAGATTTCTGAGCTGTCCGTCCTATTCAGTCAGTAGTTCATCCTATCATGCACCCATCAGACATTGATGAGGCTGGTCCCATGTGCAGACCCTATGCTAAGCCACACCCTCTTCCCTCCAGATGATCCCACAGGCTCCTGCCTGGGCTACCCCTCAGTCTCAGCAAACTAGACCCTTGCCCTCCTTAGCTCCCGGTCTCCTGATGCTCCATCTGTCGGTGTATGCTGTGATTCTCCTCTCTCAGGCGATGTCTCTGCCTCACCAGCGTTGTTCCTTTGTCTTCACAAGGGCACTAAGGCCAATGCCCAGGGAGCTGCTGGACCCCCAGTCTGGGTGGGACAGGTTTGAGCCCTGTGGCTTGGCTTATGGCTGGGCCAGGGGAGCCAGAAAAGGCAGTGCATCGAGGGTTTCAGACTCTCTAGCCTGGCCCAGCACCCACAGAATCCGCCTGTGCTTCCATCGCCTCTGTCCTTCCTCTGGTCTCCACACTTGAGGAGTTCTCCCGTCCCCTTGCCTCCTGTAGGCCGATTCCTCTGCACTCCCAACCTGATCCTTCCTGGCTGCTAATTGGTTTCTGTGCCTTGATCTGGGCCCTCCATGTCCCTTTACAGTGTAGAACCCTAATTTAATGCTGCAATCACCGGGGCCTGCTCTGCTTCCCAGGCCAGAGGATCCCGGCATCCCCATTCCCAGCCTTGCCTCTGCTGCCCCAGGGCCCCCACTGGACACTTCCCCACTCTCCCTTTATCTGCGGCTCACAGCATGTACGCCTCCCCCTATCAGCGTATCGGGCTAGCATGCCTCATCTAAAGTGTATATATTACCTAATAAAATCCTTCTTATTTGGGATTATTGCATCAGATTTTAATTTCCTCACTCGAGCAGCAGCATGTCGGCCTGCCCGTCAGTGAAGGGCCGATAGAAGGTGAAAAGAGCGGATAAACTGCACAAATTACTGCCAGCCGATGCCTATCAGCCCTTCGACTGGAATTGACTGGAATTAAGGACTGAGAAATAGGATTTTCTACCTCAAAATCTGCTGTGGCAGCTCTCATCGGAAGTCCCCTTCAGCCCCCGCCAGCCTGCTCCCCGCAAGGACGCCTCCTCCTCCCGAAGCAAGCTGCGTGTTCACCTTTCAAGTCCTAATCCCATCATGGAAATGGGGTGGGGGGGTGTCCCAGCTGAGCTTGCTGAGGAGGAAGAGGACACGGACCTCTGAGGCCAGGCACAACCTGGTTGGGCTCCTGCATCCCCAGCTTTCCTGACAAGGGCATCTTTGGAAAGGGACAAGCACAGAGGGAAGAGACATGGTCCCTTCCGGAGAGGTCCGGCTTCTCTCAACTTGTGCCCGCACTGCCCAGGCCTCATAGGCTGGGGCTGCCTCGCACACCTTACCCACTCCTCCCCTTAGCACACCCACTGGGTGCGGAGCCCTGAGCCCTCACCTCCTCTAGAGAGCAATGGGGTCTCCTAGGCCCACCCCACATGGCCCTCCACTCCCTAGTAACTCCCACCCCCTCCCCCACTGCACCTCGTGACCCTCAGCAAATCCCTGAGCACTCTGAGCCTCAGTTTGCTCACACGTAGCCCCATACGAGGAAAGAGAGAGAGGGGGAACCTTGCTGGATGCCCCCGGCAGTGACACATCGCAGATGCTCCACTGGTGCCACTTCTGCCCTGGAGGCTGCTAGCTGTCCTCACAATGCACAGAAAACCCCTTCCCTCTAGGTAGAAATGATTAATACGGGCTGTTGGGGAGGCTGAGTTTGCTGAAATTCTTTGGAGAAATCCATGTGGATGTGCATTTTCTGGGAAGAGGCCCCTGAGTTGTTATCAGATGCACACAGTGATTCCAGGCCCAAATTAATAGTAACAATCACATTTGCAGCATTCGCCGTGTATCAGGTGCTGTTCTGAGTGCTTCACGTGCATCAGCTGCTGAGGGGTGGGGATTGTGATTTTTACCCATTTTATAGATGGGGGAAACAAGGCAGCAAGCAGTTACCAGTAACTTACCCAGAGGATTCGAACACACAGAGTCTGGCAGCATAGTCAGACCCTTAACCATCTGTGGTGCTTGCCCGCTCCTCTCATCACACAGCTGGGCCCCTGCAGGCCTGTGCACGGGAGCCTCTCTCTCAGGAGGCTTCCTGCTTCCTGAAACGTGGATACCAGTGAAGGGCAGAAGTCCTCGGCAGGCTGCACCCTGGCACACTCCCCAGCTGGACGGGCTCCCCGGAGAACCACAGCAGGCAGCGTGCTGTTGGGAGCCAGGCCGGCTCCGGGCCGAGCACGGCTGCACCTCTCCATCCCCTGTCTTTGGAAATAAGTTTCAGTATATTGAAAATATAATCACCGAACCTCTGAAACAAGAGCTGTAGGCTCCCAGGAGCCCCTACGCCTTCCTGCTAATTCCTTCTCATAACATCTCCAGTCTTTCTGGCTGCACTTGTATTAAAAGCTCAGGGTTTTATTAAAAGTGGATTTATTTACCCAAAAAGAGATGAAACCCCAAACTTTTCCAGGAGCCTGTCAGAGCTTTTTCGTGGAAGCTCGGGTACGACTCTTGTCAGAAGAGGCCCTGTTGTCCTGTCCTGGAGAACCCACTGGCCTCCCCAGAGCCCCGCTCACCCAGGAGGCCTGTGGGCAGCCCTGCACAGGAGCCCAGCATGGATTCTGAGGACTGAGGGCACTTTGGCCACCAGATCTCCTCTGCACAGGCCTGCAACCAGCCCCCTTGCATCTCCTCCTGAGGATCACTATCCCAGGCCCGGCCCAGCCCTGCCCTGCATGTGAGCCTGAAACATACTGCTGCCCCTGAAGAGTACTGCTTAGTGACTCTCTGGGGTGGTGCTCTGGTGGGCCCCACGCCCAGTTATCCTAGCAGGCCAGGAAAGCACAGAGCGATTGCTGTGAAGGGATACCAGTGCCTGGGGAGGGTGAGGTGGGGGATGCTCCTGCTGTGTCATGGCAGCGAGACTGGGTAGAGCTGGAGAAGGGGCAGCTTGCCCCCAAAGACCCGAGGGTGTTCGTGTCAGGGAACAAGCCTCTGCACAGGAGGTGGGGATGGAGTTGCAGTGTAGGCTTAAGCCTCCTGCTGATAAACAGTGAATGGAGAGAAGTGGCCACAGCCACAGAGCCCTTTATTAGCCATGCAGATGCCAGGGTTGACGTTTCCCTAGAGGGTGGGGACAGGCTTGTCTTGCTGTCTATCACGCAGGGGAACACAGTGGCCTGGAGCCAGAGCCTCAGGCGGGCAGAGGGGTAGGCATGGCCGGCACTGGCCATGGTGTGATAGGGCCTGGGGAGCCAGGTAAAGGCTGTCTGGGCAAGGGGTGACTCAGTGAGTGGTGGCAGTGACCTTAGGGTTCTCTTGTTTGTTCATTCGTGTATTCAGTCAATCAGCCGACCCATCAATTGATATTTGAATGTGCCAGTTGTATGCCAGGATCTCTTCCTACAACAATCTTATGCCTCCAAGTACTTGCCTGAGCTCTCTACCTTCTACCCAGAGCACCTTCCTCTTCATGGTCTCTTCCTGGCAAACCCCTACTCATGCTTCATGACCCATGCTGAATGTTGCCGTTTGTACAACTGCTTGCCAATTCCTCCAGGTGGACTTCTCCCCTGCTTTGTACATTTCTCCATCTGAGCCATATGTGTATTCACACTTCCCACATGTGTGCGGCAGCTGTCTGCACAGATGTCCTTGATGTCATGCCGTAGACTGTGCTCCCCAGTAATGAGTTCCCTTGGCTCCCCAGCCGGTTAGTCCTAGCTCTTAGCCCCTTCTCCACCAGCGCTACAGAGAGAATGAGTAGGGGTGTGGGCAGAGCCATTCAAAACAGGAATTGCCAGGCACAGCGCTGTGTGGGCCATGGTTCCTAGGAGCATGGAGGCCTCCTGAGTTGCCACAGTCATCCCCCGAGATACATGCTTTCAGGATTTATGCTTTCATCCCTGAAGTAGTTGATCCATCATGTTCTCCTTTATTCAGACCCCAGTGAAAACAAGGTCCCAGGCCTTTTGCTGTTATTCCTATTAAAATGGCGGAAAAGTGAGGCCAGAAAGGTGCAGCAACTTTCCTAAGGTCACACAGCAATGTGATGGATGGTTGAGCTAGAGACCAGATCTCTTGTCTCTTTGCTGGAGGCCCCTCATCTGTTTGTCTCCCATGGTGGTCCATCTGAACAAGGGATTTGGGAAGGGGAAAGGAAAATGACGGTATCCGTAAGGCTGGGCCTCCCCAGGGACCCTAGGGTGTTTGCCTGGGAACATCGGTGTGTGCCCAGGGCAGCTGAGGCCTGAGCCCTTGGCACCTACTTCCTGGGCTGCCCTTGCAGCCAGGAGTCAGCCTGGAGAGGGAAGCTGTGGGTGCCATGGCAGCTGCAAAGAAAGACAGCAGCCAGGGGACCCAAACTCAAGTCCCTCCTCTCTTCTGCCCAGGGCACGACGGTGCGCATCATCACCGCCATTGACCAGGATAAAGGACGTCCCCGGGGCATTGGCTACACCATCGTTTCAGGTAAGGCAGAGAGTTCCTCTCTCCCCCCTCACCCCTCTCTCCTGTACCCAAGGAGAGCCGGTAGGTGTCCCAGGCTCTGAGGGCTGAGGAGAGGTCTGTGGGCATGTGGGACAGAGTGGGAGACATGCCTATAGGGACAGTCCTCGCCAAAGGGCCAGGAAGGGGAGCAACTGAAGGCAGGAGCAGCAGGGAGAAGAGGCGTAGGGAAGCCGCAGAGGCTGAGATGTCTGGGGCTGCTTGGCTGGCGCTGGGGGAGGAGCGTGTGCGGCTGTCCAAGGTCTGAGACGCTTGGGCACTTTGGGGCTCTGGGCCTGGGACTTCGGTGACTCCCATCTAACCTACTCCAGTGCTCTGACTTTGTTGTTTTCTTTGCGTATTTGATGAAAAGGTGACAAGTTCTAACATCATTTTGGAACAAATGGAGCTGTAACTACAGCTGATTTCATGTTCTTTTCACATTTCCAGCCCTTAGGAATTCATGTTGCATCTGGAATGTTGCAGGGGGAACATCAGCCCCCTTGCCGCCCAGATGCCTTGGTTGAGCAGAATAGTGACTGACGGCAGAGATGGTTCTGGGTTATAGGATCTCTGACCCATGCCCCACCCAAAGACTGAAAAATGGCAGCTCTGTTCGGCTGTCCCAGGGCTGGGTAGGTTTAGAGCAAGGTTGCCTTGAGGATGCAGTGAGAGGCTGCTCGCCCACAGACTCTGGCTCTGCCCACCCCCCATACACACCACTCATGACCTCCCTGCCCAGCCCATGAGTCAGTGACGGGTCAGCCTGGTGTATCTGGGCAGGCTAGGCTGATGGCTGAGAGGACATCCAGCCACCAGGCCAGTTTCTACCCACTGCCCCTCCCTACCATACACCCACACCCCCCAGAACCAGGAGTGGCATTGTTGGAGCAGTATCTTGTCCCTAAGGCTCAGAGGACAGCAAGGCATAGTGACCAAGAACATGGAGGAGGATGGGGTCTCCTGTGCCATGTCATTTTGGATGAGTCCCTGTCCCTCAATTGGCCTATATCTCTCTACCACAGGAGCAGTAAGAGTCCCTACCTCAAGATGATGTAAGGGTCAGTTGACTTAATATATAAAGTGCTTAGTTAACATATGTTAAGTGCTGCATAAGTGTTAGCTAGGGTTATTACTACAGCTAGCAGCTAGTGCTACCTTGGGAAGCTAGGGGTTAGCTAGTAGGAGGGAGACACCTCATGTCCTTGGCAATGCAGGAAATCAGGAGTGTCAAGGGGTCCCTGGGACCCACAGCTGCTGACATGACTATTGTGCCTCTAAGCCTAGGGTACCCCAGGACCCAGAGCAACTCCCAGCCCAGCACAGGTGATGAATGGCAGCAGGAGCATGGGTTTTCTCTGCACCACCTCCTCCCCCTGTTTCATCATTCTGGTGTCCAGCACAGGAGCTGGGTTAGCATAAACCCTGATAGGTACTTGTGAAATGAATGAATGTCACGTGACTCTAGGGGAGTGAGTTTTCAAACTCAAACGAGCCCAGGAATCTCCTGGGGCTCCTACCAAAAATACAAGGTCCTTGGGCCCCATGGAGATGCTCCCTCTGGAGGTCTGGGGTGGGCCCAAGAATGGTCCTTTCTCACAACACCCCAGGCAGCTCAGGTGCAGGTGGTCCTCAGACTGGGATGTGAGGAAGCCAGGCTCAGGAAGGAAACTGTTCTGCAGGAAGGCAGGACCCATCTGGGAATCGAGGCTCTTTCTAGGTGGGCAGAGGAGAAGGAGGGGTCCATCTTGGGGCTGATCTTCTTCGTGAATTTTGCAAATTGAGACACAGAGCAAGAGCCTCTCAGTGACCAGGGGCTTGCACTGGAGAACTGAGGGAGCACGGTGAGCCCTGGGTGATGGAGACGGGGAGCCGGGACAGAGCGGCAGCAGGAAGTGGGTGCTGGGCTGGGGGTGGGGCGTGTCTCTCATGTGCTCATAGCCTCTAGGCTGATTCCAGATATTTCCCAGGCTGGATGGAGGTAGGGAGCAGAGAGCCAGGACCTGGTTCAAAGTCATGCCTAGAATGGGAACTCCTGCAGAGACCCTGCAAGCCCATCCTCCAAAATGCTGGTCCATTCCAGGTTCGTGCGGGGTGCCAAGCTGCCAGTCCAGACCCTTGGGTCCTCTCCAGTCTTTAAAGATGGCTCCAGCCAGAACCACCTCTTTACTCTCTCCCTCTGGGGACAGAGGCTGGAGGGCTGAGCTGCTGAGCCTTTGGCATCTGGGCTGGACGCTGGAGCATGGAGTCCGGGCACAGCTGCCTGCGGCATCTCCAGGGGCAAAATCTCCTGGGACAGGCTCCTAAGTGCAAACGACAAAGTGAGAAGGGAGACCCAGGATTTAAAACCACAGGGTAGGGGTGTGTGTGGAGGTGAGGGCAGGAGGCAGAAACTTCTGGAAGGCCTGAGGCATTCAGCATAGCTTTATAGGAGTCCCACTGCCAGCACAGATGTGTCTTTTAGAAAGGGTGACAAATGGGTTACCTCTCACATGCCAGCTTTGATTGATTGGTAAAGGCTGCCTGCAGAGGATCATGGAACTAATAGGCTCATGAGTGCAGTATGCAATTGGCAGAGTCTGCTATGGGTGTGGCAAGGGAGAGGACCACTTGCGTGACAAATATTTGCCATCCTTGGTATGTTACCACTTGAACAACACTCACAGGGTGATCTTAGATCTTCCTCTACCTATCTCATGGGTGTTAATCACCACCTCACCTTACCCAAACCCCTGCTGGGTAACGAGCAGCTCGAGGAAAGAGCAGTCCTTTTCTCTTTTTTTCCCCTCGTGACCAAACTGAGACTGAGGAATGCCCACCCTGACTGGCTCAATGGGGCTTCCCCCACTCCACATTCCTGCCCTCTTCCCCCTGGTTATGGGCTGGCACAGTCTCCCTGAGAGCCATCCTCAGCATGAACCTAAAGCAGGCTGATGGGCAGGAGGCCACTGTCCCCAGGGGAGCAGGTGGGCAGTGGGCTAGGATTTGGCCTCATCTCTGCTGCCTTCCACCAGTGTAGACGTGGCTGAAAAGAACAGTGTCTACCAAGGGTCTGTCACACATCTGGCTCTCTGGTGACATTTGGTTGCAGCCCTCTCCTGGGTGGCCTGGCCAGTGCCCGTTTAGTGGGAAGCAGGCAGACGGGATGGTTCATGTCACTCTGAGGGTATCTTCACAGCTGACTGCCCCAAAGTGGCCCTGAGTGCCCAGTAGGGGCCTGCCCCAGCCCTAGCTGCTCAGGAACCATTTTCCTTTGAAAGAAAGAATTAAGGGCTTTGTGGGAGGTGGGCAGAGCCAAGTGAAGAGTCCTAAGTGTTACTGATGTGGGTGACTCGAGTCTCTGGGGGACCCCAGATGCCTGGGCTGGTGGTGGCTGTGTCTGCACATGGGCGGGGCCTGCCTGCCCCACATGGGCGGACACAGGCCTGAACCCACAAGGGATCCATGGCCCCCACTTAACCTGCCCAGCTCCCTGGGGCCCTGTCCCCTTCAGGCTGTTTATCAGCCTGCAGCTGTGGGGATTTATGTCTACACACCAGTGCTTTCCCCGTTACTAATGACCCCTCTGTTTTGCCAAGAACAAAGAGGCCTTCAGCAGTAAGTAATGGCTCCATTGCCATCAATTTGTTCCCAGCCCCTCGTGACCAAACTGAGACTGAGGAATGACAATTCTTTCCCATAGAGGACCTGGCGTGGGCCCCATCTGCTCCCTTGGCCTGTACCTGCCCTGCCACCCACAAGTGGCATCATTTTCTTGGGGGCCTGGCCAAAACCGAGTTCTGCAGGCTCCTGTCCCCGAAGTTTAGCCCAGCCTATGGTCCAACAGATACCCCTTCTGGCCTCATCCTTCCTCTGCCAGGCAGACACAGTCCTCCTCCAAGGGACAGCTGCACTCGCCCCATAACTTGAAGTCGGAAGTTGTGGGTTTGAGGCCCAGCTCTGCCACCTGTTAGCAATGTGTCTGAGCAATGTGTCTGAGCAATGTTTGACCTCTCAACCCCATGGTCCTCACCCATGGAACAGGGTTAGTAATCCCCATGTGGATGAGATAGTGCTGTAGAGACTCTAAAGGGCCATAAAATATTAAGGAGTATTAATTGTCAAGGAACAAGCAGGACCTAGAGGTCCCTGGGACTAATTCATTTCTTCCTTTATTTGTTTGAGCACAGGGCAGTGGCTCAGAGTACAGGCTCTGGAGCCGCTGTCCATGGTGGTGACCTCTAGCCATGGCGGCCAGTGCATTTGCCTATGAGCCCATGTAGCTCCTGGGCACTTGAAGTAAGGCTAGTCTGAATTGAGATGTGCTGTCAATAAAATACAGGATTTTGAAGACCTAGTATGCAAAAAAAAAGTGATAAAATACCTTATTAGTAATGTTTTATATTGATGACATGTTGAAATGATAATATTTTGGATATACTGGGTGAAATACAACATATTATTAACATTAATGTCACCTATTTCTTTTTTGTGGCTACTAGACAATTTAAAATCACACATGTACCCGTATTCTATATCTGTTGGTGGCTCTCTTCTAGAGATAGGTGGCCTCGATGTAGCTTCTGCTACCGACCAGCTGTGTAACCTTCTAAGCATCCGTTTTCCAATCTGTAAAATGGAGATGATAACAGCCCCTGCCTTGCAGGCCTAGTGGGGGTTTAGTGAGCTGAGCTGAGTTAGCACACAGAAGCGCACCTGATCTTGTAGTTAGGGCACAACAGCGTGGACTCTCCATTCCCACCCACTGTTGACTGAGGGCCTCCTCTGGACCAGGAGCTGTGCTAATGTCCTGAGAGGTGGTGGGGACTAGGGCACCATCTCTGTCCCAGTAACCTACAGTTTGAGCAGGAGACAGACCTATCCAGAGGCAGCTTTAATACACAGTGGAACTCTGTGAAGAGCAGGCAGGAGATATGCTGATGTTGACATGGAGAGATAGCTCCCTGGGGCTCTGTTAGACTGTTTTCTGTACTTCTGTGTGTGTT